AACGTTTCTACCACAGTAGGATAAGCTCTGTTGGTAAAGCACTTGAGTGCTGAGCAGAAGGTCCCGGGCTCTATTCCCATGCTGGACAAATACTCGGGGTTGAAGGTACTGCCTGTTGCCCTGCAAACGGCTAGACCTTCGGGTGGCTTGGATGACCAAGTAAAACGGCGGTCCCGTCTCCAGTAGGAGACTAAAAACAGTGTCCCCAATTAAAAAGTATGTTCTTGCTAAGCACTACCCATGGTACCCCTCTGAGCACGCTTTTTGCGCGATTGAGAGCTCCACTATAATGTAATAAATAATCACTCTTTGCTTGTCATTAATTTAGTTGAAGCTTTATTGTTTCTTTTTTAACAGCGCTCCCATCCTGGATCGGCAGATGAAGCTGATAACATAACAGATGAAGAGTTTGAAGTTTGTTATGTAAGAATAAAGAAAAACAAACGGTGTTGTTTGGAAATGCTCATTAGCCAGCCTTTAATAAAAAAATCAGCTGTTAAGATTCATGACTACATGTAATATTTTTTGCATTTCCCAGGTATAGATATATATTTTTTTTAATCAGAGTATCATGGTTATGAATCAGTCAGAGAGACAAGCTAAGGGAAAGTGAAATTCAACTTTTCTCCAAAACAATATTTTTAAAAAGAAACTTTCTCAGTCAACTTTTAATGTTTTATTGAAGGTGTTGATAACCCAGATGCTTCAGCTACAGCCTGCCTAAGATCACCAACATGTGAGCTTAAAGGCCATGAAGGTAAACTAATTTTAAAATTCATTTATTAGTGAAAACTGTTCTACTGTTGATCCGCTACTTCCTGCCACTGCCTCACAGAAGCTGCTTACTTCTTAGCCTGCGAAAACATCCGTTTCTCCACGTTCCTCGCCGCTGGGGACGTTTCGGGTCAGGAGGAACGTCTGCGACTGAGCGACAGAAATTCCATACTGATGACGTAAAATCTCTCCGGAATCCGGTCAGAAGAGCTGATTGGTCGACGGAGTAGTTACATTGTTTTAGCTTTTGTTTACGGATGACAGACAAAAGACAAAAGGCCACAAAGGTCAAATGTAAACGCGAAGAATCTCTAACAAAACAGTCAATATTTGTGGAATATAGTCTTCTAGATCTCTAGAAGAAGCATTTGAGTTTTGCTGAAGCTCGTTTGTAGATGAACACAACACTTTACCAAAATCGACCAGGAGAAACGTAAAATCGAACAGATTTGAATTGGAACCTCATGACTACCGGATTTATTTTTTAAACATTGATTTACATCATTAGTATGGAATTTATGTCGCTGAGTCGCAGACGTTCCTCCGCATGAAACGTCCCCGAGAGCGAGGAGAAACGGATGTTTTCGCAGGCTACTTACGTCTGCTCCCAAAGCTGCTGTTGTAAAGAGTTTGGACTATTATTCAACATCCAGCAAAATCAGGGCTTCTGATATTTGTGATGGTGAAAATTTTCGTATTTGATTGCAAATCGCATGTGATCACATACCGAGTTCGAGTTCGATTTGAAATCACAAGTACATGTATGATTTCAGACCCAAATTGCACGACATGAAATCCAATTACCATTTTATTACAGTCATATTTAGTCAGTACCAATATTTTATTGATCAATTAGCCGGTTTGTCGAAAAGCGGAAACAAAAAGGCTTTTACATCTCATTTTATATTTGAAACAGAAATGATGCGATATGGAGCAAAAATGATACGATGTAGAACATGACTAACGCGATTTGGGACAGATGTGATTTAGAGCAAGAATAGTGTGATTCGTGAATAAATCACACTGCTGAGAGCCAATCAGATTGGAGGGATCACCAGTGACCACTTCGAAAAATACCATAATATTCTCAAATTGTTGTGGCACTTTGAAAATATTGTGGTATTTTGCGAAGTGGCCTGTGTGGTTACACTGTTTGTGTTTTAGCTTGAATCTCCCTCTTTTTTTCCTTTTTATTTTTATCTATATACAGTATGGGGCCCAGTTCTCGGCCACAAAAAAACGTAAACTTGTATTTCTTACCTTGGAATAGCCGTAAGGACTTGAAATTTCACACACAATTAGCTTCAGCATTCAGTTTACACATGTAAATCTATCGACCGCTCAACGCTGTTTTCCCCCGAGTAATAACGAAAATGGAGGCTTCGTTCGTAGGCTCAGTTATCGGCCAGCGGTCCCAGTTCTCGGGCACAAAGGAGTGCGCGCGATTCCTCAGAATAAACAACCCTTTATTACCATTTTTTGTTGTTAAATCAGTTATAAGGCTTGTGTTTTGATATTTCGATCACAAATTATCCTTAAAGACTTTTGTTTCATGTTAGAAAAGGAAGTTTTTTGCACACCTAGTTTTTCTCTTAAGTGCAGTCAAGTGAGGCTAAAAAAGAGTTGGGTGTTTTAAACACGGGTTAAGTCAGAACTCATAGTTTTAATTCATATCTACTGTCAGAACACTTCTTTCTTTCATTCTTGCCACGGCGGATGCAATTGTATTTAAAACTTGTATTTACAGCTTTATTTTTACAACTGATTTGGCACGAAAACTCCATTCAAAGCTATGAGCGCTTTTTAGTGTTGACGGCGAGCAGGGTGGCCGAGAATAGGCAAATACGCGAAAGTACTAAGGAAATATTGAGGAGTGAATTTAGGTCAAAGAATAAAACAGGCCAGCCAAAGTTTATATTTATCCGATAGCTTTATCACTCTACGTTCTTTATGCCAAGAACTGGCTCATTTTGGCCTTCTATACGAATAAAATACAAGCTTGAATTAAGCCATGTAATTCGAGTAGCCGTAAACAAACACGTTTTCGGGGAAACCAAATTCACCTATCCTGACGTGCTCACAGTATATGGTAGCTGTAAACTCAAAACTCGGCGGGACGAAAGACAAGGAATTAAGCTACCTTTGGAAATAATTTCTTTTTATTCAGATTCATTTGCGGCGCGAAAAAAAAAAAACGTTGAACAAAAAGTGGCCGAGAACTGGGCCCCATACTGTACATATAGATTGGACACTTCTGTGTGCCTTGTAATATCAGTAATATACTAATACTAGAGGTCATCATTGATTATGTATCCGCGTTCGTCACTTACGGAAACGAAATCGAGTCGAAAGGAGTCCAGTTTCCCTGCCGAGATGCCCCTGACAAAATCCGTAGGGGCGGCTGATCGGCAGTCGCCCGTGATACCTCGAAAATGTATGGCTTTGTACCACAGGAACACCAAGAGTAGGATGCGTTCTGACGAAAGCGATTATTGTCGCTATCAATGATAACAGCACCTGATGTGTTAACCCTTTAAGTCCCAATAGTAAACCAACATCAATGTTCTCCTAACGATATCCTTACAATTTCAAGAGATTAGGTTATGAGAATTAATAAAATGATCTCCTGAGAGAAAATGTTTTGATCTTTTATCAGTTCTCTAAGTAAATGTATAGAGATCAGTTTGGAGAATTTGCACGTGTATATTGGAGCTTAAATGGTTAATCTGTCAACTAGTTTAATTGTCTCTGTGAATGCAAAATGAAGTGAGGTTGCCAAAGTTATACGCAAACAGTCGTTACACCGTAATTTCGATTTTTTATTCGTCACACATGCGCTTTGTTTTACGTCACATTTAGGTGCTGTTATTGCTGCTGATTGGTTTATATCTGGAAAACAGGTTGTTACGGCTTCTTGGGACAGGACAGCAAAACTTTGGGATGTTGAAACAGCAGAACAAGTTCATCAGTTAACTGGTAATCATAGAGAAATTCAGATGATAGTCATGTTTGCCTTTTTTTCCTTTGCACTTTCTCCCTATTAAGTTCTATTCAGTTTTTTAATATTTGAGGAAATTAGTCGCTGGAAGTGAAAGCGTTCGCATAAAATTTTTGACTGTTCATTTTTGATCAATTTTGTTTTATTTTGATTCATAATTGGCTTCGAGGCTTGCTCCCCATTCCTTGGAGCCAAGTATGAATTTTGACGTATCGAAATTTCTGTATTGGTCGAATTCATGGTTCGCACAATCTTGAAAAGGTCTTGAATTTTAGTGGTTGTCTTGAAAAGTCCTTGAATTCGGTTAAGGTCCTTTAAAAGTACTTAATTTCTTTATTAGGTCTTGAAAAATCCTTGAAATTCACTACCTTGTCTAAAAACATTTTTGTGCATGAGCAGTATCTTGCCTCTGTTTCTTTATTTTAAATGCTATTTCTGTACCTCAGATGCAATTGCAAACGATACCCAATCATTTTTTCAAAGCGTTTTGCGGAAAGTAGTATAAAATAATGTGCTCAACCATGGCTGAAGAAGTAAAAATCGTAAATGACTCCATGACGTGTTTTAGCCAATAAGGTGTTCAAGAGGGGGTTAAAGAATGCTGATTTATTTAATAAATCGTAGTCCTTGAAAACTGTTATTTGTCCTGGAAAAATCTTTGAAGAGTCCTCGAAATTTGTTTGTCCGAAGTTCTTACGAACCGAGGAATTGGAATTGCGATAGTTTGGAAGAACACTAATTGAAGGTCCGTGACCATTGCTTTTGTCTGGTTTGTGTTAGATTGCAGGGCATGATCAGGAACTGACACACACCTGTACCCACCCCTCCCAGCAACTTATTGTCACGTCCTCCACTGACACAACCTTCCGTCTGTGGGACTTCAGAACACCGTCCATACACTCAACAATGTGTTTCCTCTACAATGTGTTTCAGGGACATTCCGAGTGAGGCACTCCAACAGCCCAACTTCTAACTCTTCAAAACTGTTCCAAGATGTTTTTCCTTTCTCTGTTTACTGTTTGCTTAAGTCTTTTACCATTGTATGTGAAACGTGAACAATTCAACGTCAACAAATCGTTAAAATGAACGACCGAGTACCTAAGAAGAGACTGGGCACTAGTAGATTAAACTACGTTTTCCTCAAAATCTACCAGTATGACCCCACCTCAAAATTTTAGGAATAAGAAACTGGCTCTGATTTAAGTGCTACGATGATGAAATTCTTGATATCCATTGTTTTACATTTTCGCTATTCAGTTTATGTGAACTGCTGTACTAATTGTCATTATAATTTCAACCCGGGTGAACAAGTTAGTTTTGAATTTTTTCTGTTAGGTTTTCTTGAATTTGAATAATCTCCAACTACACAAAACTTAAGCAGTGAGAAACTTAACAAATCGAATGTGGTTTAGCGTGGTCTGTGCTCTTTTCGACAACAATACGCGTCATCACAGTGGTCAAAATGTTGTGGACTCACGAGGCGCACAAGAAGACAATATGTCCTCAAACAGTGATTGAAGATCAATCATGAGCTGCTCACTTAGTGACTTCGTGATATGCCCGTAGATGGTGAAATCCAGCTCCCACTTGGCTTGATAGCTCAGTTGGTAGAGCACTACACCGGTATCGCAGAGGTCATGGGTTCGAATCCCGTTCAAGCCTGATGTTTTCTTCAAGCTTTAAAGGGGTAGGTCACGCAATTTTAGGCAATTTCAGCACTGATCAAATGGTCATAGAAGTAACTAAAATATCAAAATAACGGCTCAAAACTATAGAAAAACTCAAACAAAACACAGGAGATTTTGCAAATAAAAGGCTCTTGCTCCTCCAATTTGACGTTTACAGCTCATAATTAACAAAATTAAACAAAATTACCTAAACTAGCGTGACCTAGCCCCTTTAATTTCACGACTGCTTACGGTTGCGCCGAGTGTAACGGCGATGATCAATCATGTCCTCAGACCAGATTGAAACTACTACTATTGCCGTCAACAATGTTGGCGACACTTTCCTCTAACTCAGGTTTCACTGAGTTAATTCAGAGTTAGTTCGAAAAATTCCCCAAATATAAAGCCAAACTAGACACGACGGAAAACGTATAATGCGATAAAAAAGACATCCGTTCTTAGCTGTTATTGATGGTAACGATTCGCTGTTTCTGCTGTTTGCGGCAGTTTTCCAAAAACTCAATGTCTTTTAAGCTGCCATTTTTCAGCTTTATTTCCGGCGTAAGTTACCGTCCAACTTGCATCATTGAGATCCGTTCGTTTTCCAGCAGCCCTAACTCGTTACGTTTGCAATCAAATGTGCGAGTAAACTGAACAACCAACTAGTTTTTAAATAGTCATCGACGGTCTCATCCTTGTTAATAGGGGAAAACCGGCGCCCCCCCCCCCCCCCCCCCAAGCCTCCACGCGGAGCCCATACCCATATAGGAAAGAAAAGGAAACCCATGAGTTGATTTTCTCATGGTTATAATGGCTAGCGGTACTGCTTGTGAGCGCGCACGCACGACGACGACGACGACGACGGCGGCGTTGGCGGCGGGGTCTTGCAAGTTCTCGGCCATACTCCAACTGGAAGGTTGACAGAGACATGAAGCCTTGGTTTACAGGGCACTTCTTTAGTTTTCTTCGATATTGCTGGTTTTCATGTGACGTCATCATTTATATTACCTCTAATTCTACCAGCTTGAATGACATCCAACAAGTGAAGTTGAGAGTGGAATGCTGTGTGAGGGACATTGATGAATGGATGATAAGAAACTATCTTAAACTAAACCAGGACAAAACGGACCTTGTAGTCATCAGTTCCAGATTCCATTCTATGCCTGACATCGGTCACATTACTGTTGGTCCTGAGTGCATTGCACCTCGTGACTCTGTTCGTAATTTAGGGGTTCAGTTTGATAGCATATTTAGTTTTGAGGAGCACATTAAGAACATTTGTAAATCATCATTCTATCATTTGAGAAATATTGCTAAAATCCGCAAGTACTTAAGCCAAGATACATGTGAAATCTTAGTCCATGCATTTATTAGTTCGAAACTTGATCACTGTAATTCCTTATTACATGGCCTTCCTAAGTATCTGTTAGCTAGACTACAGGCAGTTCTGAATGCTGCAGCTCGTGTTGTCACTCTGACACCGAAGCATGTTCATATAACTCCTATTTTAATTAATCTTCATTGGTTACCAGTTGAGTTTAGAATAACTTTTAAAGTCCTTTTATTGGTATACAAGGCCCTTCATGGCCTTGCACCTTCTTATATTTCTGACCTTTTGAATTTTAAAACATACTCTAGGTCATTGCGTTCTTCGTGGAAAGAATATTTAGTGGTTCCAAGAAGCAGATTGAAAACATATGGAGACAGAGCTTTCTCTATTGCAGGACCTAAATTGTGGAACGATTTACCTCTAGAGATTAGGAAATGTGCTTCAGTGGCAACTTTTAAGCAAACCCTTAAAACTTTTTTATTTAAGTTAGCATATAGGTTATGAGATTCCTTTTGTTTTAAGATGTTTTTGATTTATATAGTAGATAACTTAGGCTATATTTGAATTATATTGTATGTTGTAGATATTTTTTAATTTAGATTTTTTATATTCTATTTTGTAATTAAGTAGCGCTTTGGACAATTATTGGATTTTAGCGCTATATAAATAAAATTATTATTATTATTTATTATTATTGTTATCATTTTCTAAAATAAAAAGTTACCAATCCTTTTGAGGGTCTAGTTTCATCAAATATAAGACCCTCTAAGAACGTGATGCTTTACAACGTTTAAGTTCGATAGGGTTCCTCAGTTTGTTATAGAGGACGTTTGAATTTCCTAGCTTATGCGTTGAGTCACATTAAAATGGCGGCCCGAGAAGGCCCTCGCGTAGTCCAAAAGAGGAGTTATCACTTACGTTTTTGTTAACTGAACAGTTCTTACACTAGAAGAATTATCACTTTCAATGTGTGAGAACTCTAGAGCAATAATTTTTCGTTTCAATAGCAAAACTCAATGACAGATGTTTCTGTCATTGGTGCCCCTAGGAAGGGCACCAACATGGCTTCTCCATACAAAGCTCTATCAAATTGCGAGGTGATTTTTTTTCCGAATAACGCGTTACTGAAAAACCGTACAGGCCTAGGTCTTGGCGAGGTTGATTTTATATTAATCATCTATCATATGCCAGATTCTTGACTAAATTTATTGAATGGTTATGATTGTTATTTTTGATGGTTTGACAGCGTAAACCAGCACTTGGACATCCATGTTCTGGTCAATTGACACAAGGTATCTACTAACCAATACACGCCACGAAATAGCAGACTCAAATTTAGAGCTCGTCGAGGTCAAGTGTAGTTTTTGATGTTGACTGCTGACCAAGTACTGGGTTTTGATTAGATTGCGGGCTCATGCAAGGTCAACTTGCTGTAATCAGGGCTGGGTTGTGCGGAAGCAGGTTAACGCTAACCCAGGATTAAAAGCCGAAGCATAATTTTTCTTGTATAAAAATGTTTTTATTTCTTATGTTTTGTTTTCAAAACAGAAGGCCAAACAATATAAACAGAAATAGAAGGGTAAGTTTCTAATGAGACTGTGGTGCTGCGTCGGTGGGGAGCATAACAAGATAATTTGGTTTCATCAACTGGGTTGATAATGTGAATTGGCCACCGTAAAGAGATTCGAAAGCTGACGTTTCGAGCGATAGCCCTTCGTCGGAGCGAATCGAGGAATTGTGGGTTCTGTGTGGTTTATACACAGAAAGATCGAGCTACGCTATTGGTTGGTGCATGGTAACGTGGAACAAGGAAGTACGGAAAGCCGCAAAACTCTGCAAAAGATTATTTTTGAAATCGGCACTCTTAATCTTCACGGTATCAACGAACGCTTTTCATTCTATTAATTTATTCTGTTGCTTTTCACGTTACCATGCACCAACCAATAGCGTAGCTCAAGGTAGGAAGAGAGAGGACCCTGGGAACGAGGTTGGGTGTCTTTCTCCAACAATTTATTCTCTGTTTCTGGACGAAACGGAAGGTCTGGGAACGAATTGAGGACGAACTGAACACTTTTCTACCTTATTGCTATTGTATTTGTGCGATTTTTAAATAATCGCGAAATTAAAGGCCCGCAGAAAAGGATTTTGGCGAAATTTTATACTCTGCCATACATATAGTTCTTTAATAAACGTCATCGTTTGTTCTCTATTTTATTTTGGGCGTTCGAACTCTCTTCGTCTGAATCAATATCATCTTCCTACTGCAATTCTTCGTTAAGATCCATTGCTAGTATAGTCGTCAAACAGTTCATTCTTATCTGGTTCCGTGTAATTCGTCACAACAAGTTTTATAACATAACAAAAGTAAATCGCGCGCTCTGATTGGTCAGTTAGCCACTGCCATTTGCCCGTGGGTGCACGCTAAGAAACTGAGCTAGCGCGGTAAAATTTAGGCAAATTCAAGAAATCTCCTCTAGCTCCTGACGCTAAAATACACCGATGAAATGCACAGATGAAAAGTGGAAGGTGAAGAAAATACTAAGCTGTCGTTTTGAAGGAAAAAAGACAAAAGATCAAGCGACAAATTTGCCCTGGATGAATTAATCACTGTTTTCCTCGCGGCTAGAATCGGCTGGAGGAAAATCGAGCGAGCGAAGATTTAAGGTACATTTTGTATGTTTTTTTTATAGAGGAGAAAGTCTGTTTGAAATGTAAATTTATCAATTACCATCGTGTTATTGACTTTTTAGTCAAGCTGATGCTAAATTCAAGCAAATATTTTAGGAAACACGCTCAAATTCGAGACAGCTTTGTTGTGAAGTTTTCATCGCATCGATTAACAATTTTAGTTGAGTTTAAACGGGCACATAACGCTGGAATCAGCGAATTTCATTTGAGTACAGAAACATTTGGGTTTTCAAATAAATTTTTCAAAAAATAACTTCTGTGTG